CCTCTGCTTTCTCTATCTGGCTTCTCTGAACCATCTTCCCCTTTTCCTCACCCTCTCTTCATAAGCTCTCTCTCTCTCCTCTACTGTCAGTTCTAATTAGGCCACTGTGTTTGCATGTATGTGTGTGTCAACGTGAATGTGGGTGTGTGTGTGTTTAAGTGGTCTTAGGAGGCCCATCACTCTGCTGTGCTTCCCCACTGGGTCCTGCTGGTCGAGGGGAGACACACACACACACACACACACACAAACACACACCACACACACACACATATACACTCAGACTATTGCTGATGCTGGGAGCAGGCATTCAATGTGGGTCTAATGACTCCCTTTACAGCTGTACTCCCACTCCTTCATACACAGCATAATATCAAACTGTGCCTGACCAACAGCACGAAAGCAGACCTCCTTTGAAACCTATAAGCCTAAATGGTTACAAACAGTGCCTGCTATACATGCATTACATACATATTGGGGCCTGCAGGAGAGAAAATAACTGCAGTCATATGTACTCCGAAGGGTAATGCAGGTAAGACAAATATAACAGCCTCCTGGGTAAGTACATCTCACTCTGAGGTCGGGAGGAGCTCAGTATTGAGTGTAATAACTACAAAAACACAAAAGGAGCAACAAGCAAGGGAGCAAGCAAGTAAATGCACTCAGCTATAAACTTTAGTTTTGCATTACATTTACAAAGACTGAAAATAAAAAAACTGGGTTCCTCAAAACAAACGGTTCTGATGATATTGTTTTGCAATTAAAACCTCATTTGCTTACCCGGTCAAGCCAGGTAACCCAAAGAGAGACAGGGCCAGGGTCTGAAAGGGGTCTAGTTAGTCAGGTCGCACCCTTTACATATGTGTGTTCAAGTGGATGGTTCCAGTTCCAGGGGATCAAGCTGGAGGCTAGCTATTAAATCTGTCTTCTAAAGTGGATCTCACTCCAGCTAAAGACCTGACGTACATTTCAAAACAGGTTTAGATTCTATGTTATGTTTTATCCTGTTTTCACTACACCTGCTTATCCAGATCAGTGCCCTCCAAAGCGACAGAGGACCACACCTGACCTCACAGGAAACTTAAAAAAATCAATGCACGATACTAAAAACATGTCATACACAAAAACTGACCGGAATCTATGTGAAATAACTTAATTTGATGCCTTGTAGAAGAACTGGCAGATATATGGCTGGATACCACTACCAAATCACAACATCATGCCATCATGCCAGGCTTCAATCATTGCCAATGTGGCCAATACAGTGGTACCGAACCAATCGGTGTCCTCTGAGGAAGTACCAGCAGCTACGGGGGTGGACACTAGGTGTGACACAACGAAAAGTTGAACAACAATTAGCATAGATACAGCTAACATCAGTTATATCAGAACTGGAGAGTATTTCTTCATTGAAGAAGGAGCAAAGCAAAGTCTGGTCACTCTGTGCCGACTGACTGTCACGAGAGTTTGACTATGTTATATGGTTCGTAGATCGAATTGGTTAAATTTCGCCTGTGACAGACAGATGGTTCATCCAATCAACTGCCAAGTATTTTTTGAAAATGCCTTCATAATGTGCAATTTGGGTGAACTGTCCCTTTAAGTTCCAGCCAGGTCTGTGAGTTAGGCTCACAAATCACTTTCGTCTGAGTATACGAAGCCTCTGTTGTGACTGAAGAGGATTGTGCCCTGTCTTCTTCACTTACCCAACCGGAATGTCGGAATACGGAAAGACTTCCAGGCAGAGCGAGAGAGACAGGGGAGACTGCTGCCAGCTGGCAAGAAAGCAGAGCGCTATCAAGCAGGGAAAGGAAGTCTGGAGCACAATAGTAGCTTAAGTGTGTACATGTGAAAGAAAAGAAGCACTGTATTCTTTAGAGTTCACACTGTTAGTTTGAACCTCATGAGTTTGAGTGTATAAGACATCTAGTCACAATCTAAAAAGGGATTTTATGTTTAGAAGTCCAAAGTCAATCTGACTAAAAGTACAGCGCCCTTTTAGTTGCCCCATGAGGTAGCGATGCTTACTGCGCACCACAAAACAAAATTGTTGGACCATTAAAAATGAATTGCTATTCTTAACTGCTTGCTAGAAGTGGAGCAAAGGACTGCTGAGTTTGGTGCGAGGGTGGCTTGTCAGAGAAAACCCCATGGTGTTACCAGCTGGAAGTATGGGTAAATCCAGACCCGTCCTCTAGGTTGATCAATGGTACTGTGAAAATTCAAATGCAGTGACTATGGTGTACACACTGGCCATATTAATCACTGTTCGTAGATGTCAAAGTGCAGTTATTGCCACCGGAGTTCTAATCATTTCAAAACTGAAAGCTCACTTAAAATAGTGTAAAGATAAAGATAACAACCTTTATGAGATCTCAGAGGTTCTACAAAACAAAGAAAAGAAACTTTGTGAAGCTGTAACATCCAATGTATTGACATTTTTAGTTAAATGTAAAATAAAAATAAAACAAAAACTGAAAACAGGGAGTACATTTACATACATACATTAATCATAATCATACATACACATTAATACATATATGGTCAACTTTATTAGCTCAAAAAAAACAAAAGAATAGTCATCGTACTGATCTTCTGAATGAGTGGTAGACAAACAAACTGAGAAAGAACCACCTTAAACACAGCTATATATGCTGCTTCCATTGGAACCGTGATCACTGCTGGTGGGCATCATGTTGTTAACTTACAATCTAACTGAGGATGAAACAAATAGGTGTGTAAAGCCCACCTGACAGTAGCTGCTTGTGTCGTCTCTTGAGTCCCTTGAGTCCATACCATGCTCCCAACTAGTCAGGTAGGGCTGCAGTGACAACTTTACTGTAGGGTCCGTACCGGCCAAACTTGTCCTTGCCCACCACAGCCACACACACCTTGTGCCCAGGCTTGTACTTGCTGATCATCGCACACATGGGCAGAGGGATGGCAACCATCTCTCCGAGGGATCTCCAACTCGCGAAGACACAGCTCCCTTTAGTCTTTTCTGTGGTCATGAAGACGCTGCCGCAGGGAGAAAGGAGGAGAATGAGTAAAAAGGACTAGAAAGGCAAACAGAACTGTAGTTAAGACCACTGACTGGCTGAACTCTGCTTCCATCTGGTGGCCAGATATTGACATAAGCAATATAGTGGAAAGACATCACTCCTTTAATCAACCTGGTTGAGAATGGCTGCTTATCTCAGAAGCAGACAGCAACATATGGATCGGATTCAGACGTGGCAGATTTTAGTCCCCAACTAAAATCACTACAGTCAAAACGATTAGTCGATTAATCAGTTAGTCAATCGACAGAATGTTGTTGCCAGCGATTCTGATGATCAATTAGCAGTTTTAGTTATTTTTCATGCAAAAATTGTGAGAAAAATGCTTCACATTCTCAGGTCCAAGCTTTTCAAATGGCAGAATTTGCTGCTTTTCTTTATCATACATATAATAGTAAACTGAATATGTCTGGGTTGTGGCCTTCAGGGTCAGAAAAGACATGTAAAGACGTCAGTGTGGGCCCCTCAAAGTTTGGATTACCATTTTTTTGAACTACTTTTTAATATTTCAATAACTGAATAATAATTACTATAACAATAATTTTGGCACTCCCAAATCCTAAACTCTACCTAGCACACTACACACTGTCAGCATGTTGAAACCATGACCCTACTATACTCAACCAAAACATGCAATTTGAGCTACTAAAAATATATTGAGCTCAACCACTTATTGTTGCCGGAACAAAGCTTGAGAGGGCAACAATACACTGGCTCTGTCTTCCGAACTTGGCCAAAAGAACTGTGTGTTTCTCAGCTCCATTTTACCATGGCATGGGACAGTATGAAAAGAAGCAGTCCCTTTAATGGTAAATAACTCTGTTATTGTTCAGAATGGTGATTTCAATGGCGATATTATCCAGTAAGGAGCAGCGCTGAAAACCTGCTTACTCCACACACTGTTTCTCACTTGTAACTATCCATGGGTGGCGCAGACGGGTCTATCTCCCCCAGTTTCCACAGCACAGAGAGTGTAGCGGGCTTTCTGATCAGAGCCAGCTGTACTTCCACTCTCTGGGGGATGTTGTATGCAGTTGCCTCCGCGCTGAGGATAGAGGGGAAGGGGGTGGCCGGAAGAGGAGGATACAATAGCTTGGCCTTGGGGGTTGAAAAGGGAGAGGCAGTGGAGGTTAATGCGAGTAGCAAACACTCGAGTGAATTACTACTGTGGGGTTAGTGTTAGCAGAGTTACCTGATGTGTGCCTGTGTGCTCGGAACCAGGAGAAAGACATTCTGCTTTTACCCTCTCCGCCTTTGGCTCCTCAAACTGCTTGGAAGTGTTTTCTTGTTCCTGCTGTTCTTTTGGCTCCATCTTTATGACAAGTCCCTGAATTACACAGCATAACAAAGCGTGGGAAAGGAAGAAACATACAGCACACAACAATAAGAAAGGGTAGGTAACTTAGGACTTTATTGATACCAATTCACTTTGCTTGCTTGGGAAACTTGTCCTTGGTTACACATAACATGTGTGGTATGAAAATGATACATCAAATAATGAAGCATCCTACCTTCCGCTCAGGAGAGCCGTGAGGGGGAATAACTGGAGGAGGCAGCTTCTCGCTTAAATTTGTTATGGCAGCCGTAAAAGCTTAACACGGATTATGTACAATGACAAGTAACAGAGGAAGGGACAGGGAAGAGGAGAAAAAAAAAAAAGGATGTAGTTATTTATTCATGTACTCACTGACTCATATTATTTAATTTGGGACATTATAAGAGCTTATCGTGTCCGTTTTTTCTCGCTCCATAGCAATATGTCACCAGAAGCTACATTAGATAGATATTTAACATAGGTAAGCATCTGCTTGTACATATAAAAACCATCTTACCTTCATTATCTGCACGCATCTTCTTCAGTTCTTTTTTTGCGGTTTCCTGGACAGAAAGGGTCGATCAACTTAAACATCAATGTTTACTCCGTTTTATTTTACCATAACTTCATAGCTAAATTCATTTGTTAATTCTTTTCTCAGTGTACATGGCAGACTATTTACCATCATCTCCTCAACTACAATTAACAGTGACCTATGGGAAAAACTATGTGGATATCTTTCATTTCAATGTGTACTTAACCCATTACTCCAAAGGTAAATTCAACATTATTTCAAATCACGCAAACAAAGTCAAACAATGATTGAATAACTACATATTCACCATCGTTTCAAAGAGCTCTCCACTCTTCTCCACGCGCTTCATGCTCGTTTTGTCTACAGAGAAACAAAATTGCATAGAATGAATACTAAGGCGACCCACAAATGCTCATTAGTGCACACATGCTTGCTGGGCTCTTACTCTGTGAAACGGTTTCCATGGTTTCATCTTGAGATTCTGACCTGCAGAGTTGAAAAAAGGAAGTCAACTCATCTCAAAAACTGATTACATGCAAATGAATCCAAGCCAAAAATTCACGTCAGGGCCTCACTATTACTAAAGATGAATATTACTGAACCTGGTTCTACATACCTGACGATGTCCCTGTTAACAACAGATGACGGCGGGCTCTGAAAGTCAAACGTTTTTGTTTATACATTTGAATGAACATGCAGCATACGTAGATCACGTGCATTCATGTGTTTGTACACTGATCAGCCATTACAGTATTATTACATCACATTATTATTATTATTATTTTTCCTGAGGACTTGAAATGCCCAAAATGTTATGGCTGATTGGTGTATGTTTTTCTGCATCAAACCTTTGTCTTTGTCATACAGGCTAGAGCCGCTTCTGCTCTCTCCGTTATTGTGTTAATTCGAGCCTGAGGAAGAGAGGAACATTATGTAAAGATTTATTAGGTAAGGGTATTCTGTGTCCCCATTTGGCTTTGAGAGACACACACACACACACACACACACACACACACACAATGCATTCATGTTTGGTTACTTTTGTTTTAAAATGATAGGAAATGGCAGAATAACAAAAATATGGACAAAAAGGTGAATGTTAAGATAGTTAGCATCTGTGTACAATTGAAGTGGATTTAATCTAACGGGGGGGGGACAAATACTGAACAATGAAAAATGGATGAAGCTAGACGGCAGAAGACTGGATGCTTAAAAGATTTAGCGGCGGCTGTCATATTTAGAAAAGGCAGATGCTAGAATAAAAGACATAAAAGGCAAGGGACTGAAACAGTCGGAATGATGCAAGGAAAGACAAAAATAAGGAAGACGCAAAAAAACATAAAAAAAGTGTGGTCAAAAGTCCCTGCAGAATGAAAGAACTAGGAACAAGATGGCAGTCTGCAGGTTCGTTTTCGGTTTTGTTTGTGTGCCAGTACTTTCACCAACCTCCAGTTTTTGAATCGAGCTTTCATAATCCAGCTGTTGAATAGTTTCTATTAAACCCTGCAGCTTGGTTTCATTCTTTTCCACCGCACTGCGAACCTCCTGCTCGATAAGAGTCTGCACCTGTGGACACGGACACACACACACACACACGGCAGAGCTGCATTTGATAGTTATAACTCAGTATATATATATTGTGTCTATTAAGTTTCCAATATTGTCTCTTACTTCAGATTGGGAGAATTTAATCCTTTTATCACTCGCTCCAGAGGTGGCTGACTCTGAGGTCAACCTCTTCCTTCTTCATGCATACATACAGACAAACACACACAAAGAAATTCAAGATAAACTTGGTCTTCAGTTAATATTGTTTGTTACTCTACATTGAAGAGTTACAAAATCCCCCCTTTTATTTTTTTTACTTTGGTCCCTGGACTGTAATTCTTTGAAACATGTCACATTGAGCAAAGCAAGAAAGATGTCTGACGCATTGTAACACTTAGACCTTAACATGTTATACCCAAAGCGGTCTCTTTTAGGGCTGGGCGATATGACCAAAACTTCAAATCCCGATAGAGGTCAATTTATACCCCGATAACGATACAGATCATGATATATTTACCTGGTATATATACACATCAAACGACCCATTTAAGCATTTTGCAGAGAAACACAGAAGCGTTTTTTTTACTTTATAAAACAGACACAGATAAGAGGATAAGAATAAGGGTTGACTGGGGTGTAACAACACTTAATGTGTAGACGTAACAAAAGCTTATACTCCATGTTACTACAAATGAGTGTTGTACATTATGCTATGATCGTAATAATTACAGTCATCTGCAAAATGGTTAAATGAGTCATTACACGCCAGAACCAGAACAGAACCAAATAATAAACATGTAAATACACTTATAGCGTGCAAGAGAACACCGATCAGTAGCTATCAGAAAAAGCAAAATGCCAGAAAGCAAAGTGTGCAGCATTTCAATCTGGATAAACCACGTGCAGCGGAGTAAGTTTAAGTTGTACAAGCAGCTGAGTGACAAGAAGAAGAATGTACTGGAGCAGCAGTAAAAAAGAATGACAAACTTCCTCAGGGTCAGCAATAAAGCAAAGCTGGTAAAGGAGTCAATTCTGAATTCTCATGTGCTCAACTGAGCATCGCTTCTTGCTCCCAAACCACATTTAGACATTTGGATCACTCTGAAACGGCCGTCGGCACAGCTACAAGCGAGTTATTACGTTTTCAAAGTACTTGTGCACTGATGACGTTTACAACTCCCGTAAGGAGTGCTGCCATGTGTCCTATAGATCCCGCTTTTGTGGCTTACACACCGGGGAAATTATTGTGGCAGCAATGGAGAAGAACTGACAACGTATAGCCAAGTGTATATTCATTACTTAAACTTTAATTTTGCGTTGATTATGGCGACCCCAGTGGACGAAGTCAGTAGTGTTTCTACTACATCGTTTTATTGATTTCAAGGAGAAACCCACCGAATCCGACCATGTGGCAGGCAGTAAGAATAATTACATGGAAACAGCCAAGAGACAGATAGGTGCACTAACAATCTATAGGGTTATTTTTACATTGTATAACGATGATCATCAGGTAACTAGCTCCCTCTATTGACCAGAGGAAGGTGTGGACAGACGCAATCCTGCAAAACAATCTGATTTGCCAGCAGAGCTTAGTCTAGGCGATTAATCGTTTAGTTTAGTCAACTATTATTTTAATACCAAACGACTTTGATAATTGATTAATCATTTTAAGTAATTTTTAAGAAAAAAAATTCAGCTTCTCAAACGTGAATATTTTCTTGTTTCTTCAGTCCTCTATGACAGTAAACAGAATATCCTTGGGCTGTGGACAGAACAACACTTTATTAATGAAAGATAATCGTTAGGTGGAGCACTCGTTGCCGGCCGCTGTTTTCCTCAGCCAGCCAAGAGCTTCACTGAGATGACAAAAATACTTTCACACTATCCATCTGCAGCACTTGCGTGACTGGTCCAGCTAGTAGCAAAATGAGTTGCAAGGTAAGCTGAAACTGGGCCAACAAAAAATGCCATATGCATTAGGATTATATTATTGGTCAAGCTGCAAGCCACTCTGAATGAATTAAACTCACAAGCAGCATGATATAGGTGAAGCTGTTGAGGGTTAACTCACTCATCCAGAAGGCACAGGGCGACTTCTGCATCAGACCTCAATCCTTTTTCTGCTTTCAGTTCACGCCAACTTCCAAATGCCAATCCAATGTTCACTCGAAATCGCTCCGCACTGCTTCTGAGGTTCTGAGACAAATGTTTGCGTTTCTTGTGTTTGGTGGAAGGCTTTACTTTCTTTTGAGCTGGTCTTTTGAATCCCTTGCGAGTTGGAGCCTGAGTACCTGCCATATTTTTACTAAGCCTGCAGTATACTGCGAAGACAGAAGCTGCTTGAAAACGGTTTTGTAGAGTGGGGGATCGTCAGGGAATGGAGAAGGTGAGTGAGGGGACGGACGCTGTCCTCAATCCATCAAAGACAGTGTGAAGGCTGAAACCTGACAATAACAGCAGCCACTGTTAGTTCTGTGTGTCTAAGCATCACTGAGTCCAAGAGGGTTCAAAAAGCCATAGTGTGATACGTTGCCATATCAGTTATTTATCTCACCTCTGTTGTTCCTCTTTGTTCCTCATCTGTGCAGGAATGAGGTCCTTAACTTCTCTGTAATGTTGCCAACTGCTCTATCAACAGAAAACACACAAAGTATATATTATGTTAACAGCAACGTGTAATGCATGTCTCCATGACTATTTCAAACACCTTAAAAGAGTAAACTTTTATCTCATCAGGGTCTAAATGGTAACTCACACAACACAAATCAGTGTGGTGGGTCACTTCAGTTGTTGTTCATATATTTCTGTCTTGGCACCATGTAAAAGACACATTTTCACTCATCAGGGAACAATAATAAACGCTGTTTTCTCTACAGACTAGCTACTTCAATATGAACATCATCATCATCATCAGTTGGCTTGTGTGGGCTAGCATCAGAGGCTAGCGTGACATAAGTATACGTTTGTTTTGACGAGCAACAATTCAAGTCTGAACTCTGAATGCTAAGTGAGAGTGCCAGTGTGTTATCCGACCTTTAGAGGAAGCTGTTAGCAGAGTAACATTAGTCCTCTATCAAAGACAAAACGTTAACAAACAATGACTTGTGGCTAACGTTAGCTGAGGTTAACGCTACGTAGCTAAGTTAATACTGAACAACGTTCAAAAGAAAGAAAATAAACGTTTTAAATGCGCTTACGGTAAAATGTATGACTGGAGTAACTTAACGTTATAGCATTAAATCTTTCATAAAACAGTCCCCTTATGTATAACGGAATACTACTAAGTTACAGCTATTTCGGTTTAACTTCCGCCAGCAATTAGTAACATGTCAGGTCCGATTCCTTCAGAATAAAAGCGCGATCTTAAGAAACTGTTTAAACTATATATATTGTTTTAAAGACAATTTAGACATTTAAAACAATATATATATATTTAATATAGACATTTAAAACAATTTTACTCTTAAACAGATAAAAATGTATGGCAAACATACATTACCCACAATAAACTGTTGTCTGTAGCTGTGTAAATTAAAAACAAAAAAACACAGGCCCTAAAAACCTGCCACACTGTATAATGACAGCTTTTTTGATTGTTGATTTTACTTTCAGCACATCACCGGTTTTTCAAAACACATTTACATGATAACAATATAAACAAAGCAAGCTCAAAAATCTAAGATAATGGACCTATAGAGACAATGGCATAAATAAACTCCTCATTAATTAGTTATGTTACAGTGTAAGTGTAATTATGGACTATGGGTGTCAGCCAGACCATTACCAGATTTGAGATTGTAGCTTTTGAAAAATTAAAAATAAGTAAAGAAGTAATGTTGCACTGCAGTGAGGGGGAAGAGGGCAAGCAGGCTTTAACAGTGTATAACAATTAAAGATGGATACTTAATGACAAATTTGGCACACACAAAGAAAATGTATTTATTGTCAAATACATTTATTGAGATATACATCTTATGAGTGGGGGCAACAAGAAAAAAGAAAAAAAAGCACCAATGAATTCTTGCAGGGGAAATTAGTCCTTTGTTTTAGCTCAATCTGTTCTGAGATTAGAGCATCGGGATTCACCGAACACACACAAATTCATTCTTTTTAGTGCATGACAGGAGCTGGTATAACGGTCTATTCTGTAGCCTGAAACTATAAAACTACCACCTACATACACATTGTGTAGTTTTCTATCAGTCCACTGGGTGTCAATAGCAGACAAACATTTTAGTTTGATGACATGAGTACATGAAAACACTGTATCTTACAGATGACTGAAACTGCCACAGATGTTGCAATAGAGGTCCACATGAATAGCATGTTATTATTGAATTTCCCTAAAATATGAAAAAACAAAGGAGCATCTAACAGGCAGAAACACTCCCATTTAACATGACACATAAGCCATACATATAAGGAATATAAGGAAGTATATAAGGGAAATTGTTGTTTAAGGTTCTGAAAACATTGACCATTTCAACATGTCTCCATTAGGCATCATGAGCCTCTCAATCAATGTGGAGTTAATACTTCTTGAAGCATTAGAAATATTCCAACTGCAAAAATATAAATTAAAAAAAACAATTCCCCATGAATACAGTTTTGGCTTAAACAACTCATTATTTAGATTTTGATTATTCATCACTATGGTCCTGTGGTTATCTGTATAGATCTACAAGATACGGTACATCTACACTGACACTGATGAACTACATTAATAACTACAGGGAAATGATCACAAACACAAACCAAAACATTTCCAATCCCAACTCAAAAGTGACTCTAATAACTAAACTGTGGTACTTGCTGTGGTTTCTCTTTAATAGAGTTTGCACAAAACTTAATTAATTCTAAATTCAGATCTGTTTTGAAGTCAACAAAGCCATTCAAATACATCCAAACTTTACATAATCTATAATAAACAGTGTTCCACCAAAAAAAAAACATTTTTCAGCCTTTTGTACTGCAATAACTTAACTTTTCATCTCAATATAAGTTAAAGGGATTTGATGAAAGACAAGAACTTGCATGCAAACATGAGGATTATTATTTAGTGAAACACTCTTATGATGACAACTTCACAACAACAAACATCACAATCCTGGCCTCCGATATGTTATTTTGATCATTTTCAAGTATCATCTTGAGATAGCAGAGCAACATCTTCAGGTCCATGTCTTTTCCCTGAATCTTCATAATTCGGTGAGAGAGTCAGTTACCAGGCTCTGTGGTCCAAACGCTGCCCGACACGAACATAATTCCTACAACAAAACAACCCAATGCACCAATGCAGCCAACAAGTCCAAGCTGAAATGACACGTTAATTCTTTACATTATTCGTGTCCTGGAAATGTTTCATGTTCTAGCAGCTACAAAGTTAATACCCAGATGGCCCCTCTTAACCGTTTCACCCTCAAACCGACACAAGGAAGAGGAATATAAAAACAGTTTTCACAGTGCTAGTGTGGGATCAAACATTACCTCCACTCAAGCTGTAAGTAGAAGAAATTCTGGGAATTGGTAGCAAGTACAATACAGTGAATTTATTGTTGTTAAATGCCGGAGCACAAGTGCATAGCATGTGCATAAGAGGTGTTAGAAATGTTTGGATCAAATCAACAGCAGCCAGGCGGCCAGAGAGGGAAAAACATGGCAAGACTTGATTACTTCATACATCCTCAGTCACATGATGCTAAAATACACAACAGTGGTTTTTTAACAATAAATAGTTTTTGTCTTTTTTCTCAGTGAAGCTGTGAACAATAAAGCATAACAATAACGAAGAAATTCTTATTTCAAGTTTGCATGTTTCTATGTTGTCATTTGAAATCCCAAACATCACAGCACATCATTGGTTCCTTTCTCACCATTAAAACACAAGTCAGTACATAAGAATACAAACAACAGGGTTAAAATCCTACATATTATAACTCCACTAATACTTCACTACACTTCCTGTAAGCTATGGTTAACATAAGATTCTTAGTTTTTATCTTTTTCATATATAATTTTTGTATTTCAGTCTTCGAAATATGTTTTCTGCAATTACCTTAACTATACATACACAGCAAATATGTACAAAAAAAATCCATTGACTAGAGATTCACAAAAAAAAAGTATGGACCCTTTGTAAAGTCCTGGGGGCTGTGTCCCAGTAAGACAAATCTCCCCACTTGTCTTCAACTTTTATCCTTTGCGATCAGATGTTTCAGAAGGGTTTCAATGAATGGAGGTGGTAGGAAGCAGGAGACAATGAAACAAGAGGAGGAGACAAATCAGTATGTTGGGACACTGCTTATGTCTTGTGTAGTGGCTAAAGGGAACAGTGGGGAGACGATAGTGAAGGTATGTTCTCACTAAATGCAGCAAGAAAGCCTCAGGAGCCCTTGCTGTGCAGAGCACTGAACGAGTGATGAACGCGCACGTACGGTGAATTTGCTGATCTGTATTTGTAGATTTGATCTGGACTTGAATATATCAAATGACAAATGAATATATCTAGTACTTTTTAAACTAGGTATTGCATCAAATGTAAATCGTGTATTTCTCACCTTAAACGTTTCAAGAAACATGTTGTAGCCGTCACACATGTAAATAGAATAACAAAGGCCACAACACACAGTGTATCTATTCCTTAAAAAAAAAAAAAATGTCAATTGGACACATTGAGAGTGCTTGTGCATCTTTGCCACATTCAGTGAGAACAATGTACCATCAGGAAGGAGGAGGGTGTGTGATGATTTTGGGTTTTGAGTGTGTAAGGTGGACAGAAGTGCTGCTGAATGCTTTATAGGTGATCTGTCTGGTTCTAAACCTGAGGCTTGACAATAGTGAGGAACTGGGGTGTATGTCCTTACCTCCATGGTTTCATAAAATCTAAGGGTTAGAAAGACAATGCGTGCATGTATGTAGGTTGAGGAAAAGTGTATGTCTTTATGCATTTGTGTCCAAGTGTTCCTATTTATATATTTGAATATCGCCACGCCTGTGCATCAAGCCCGTCACATCTATTTGCGTTTCCTGAGCACCAGGTACATGAGGCCGCTGGCGAGAGTCACAGGGAAGCTGATCCAGGCCAGGATGTAGGAGGAGCCGTAGGAGCCTTCCTGGAGGCTGGGCACGTGAAAGCTCTTGTTCTGAGCCGTGTAGATGGATGCTGCGACCATCACACATAGAGCTGGGAGGAGAGAGGAGGAGGAAGATGGAAATTACACTCAAAAGTTCATTCACACTCTGAAATACAAATACATTTCAAAGTCATGCGGCCAGTTGGTGCCACGTTGGCATTTTGGGAAATATGCATACACTTATTTGTTTTCTGGTGGAAAGTTAGATAAGAAGATCGAGACCACTCTTATATTTGTACATTCAATATCAGGCTACAGCTGGTTAGCTAGTATAAAGACTGGAAAATGGGTAGCCGGGTTTATGTCCAAAGATACCAAAATGGCAGCACCTATAAACCTAAAAAATTAACACGTGAGTAGCCAGGCAACCAGGTGACTCCAGGAAGTGCTCGTAGCCAAGAAATTGTACCGCACATAATTAGTGAGCTTTCGAGGTGCTGGTCGGTGGATTTCGTTCCCCTCGGACGGAGCCAGTCTAGCTGTTTTCCCCTGTTTGCAGTCTTTATGCTGAGCTGAGCTAAGCTAAGCTAACTGGCCTCTAGCTCCAGCGTCATATTTACACGGTGAGACGATGGAAGTGAAGTGCGTGTGTCACTCACAGGCCAATAGCTGGATGACGGCGGTGAAAATGAATCTCTCTCCCTGTTGGAGCCGGAAGAGCTGGAGGATGAAGACGAAGAAGCTAACGCAACATAAAATGGTGGCCAGGATCATAGTGGCCTGGACGGCCTGCAGGTAGGCTGAGGAGAGAGAAGAAAGGAGGTGTTACATACACAAACTGACAGTATACACACACACATATACATGGTTGCACACTGTGTTACCGGCATCAGCAGTATGGCTGTTCTCCACAGGAAAGCAGGTGGCGTTACAGGAGTACCACAGGTCAGTGTAGATCATATCGCGTCCGCCTACCGACACCCTCCACCACGCCTACATGATGCAGGGACAAGAGATTATGGAAACGGCCTGTACTGCCATGCACTTGTGTGTTCCCTCCTGGTTTATACTCACATTGTGAATGGTTGCAACGAAGAGGAGGATGGCTGCAGCCAGATGGAAGAGGATGATGAAGGCTAAGATGATCAACATGGCTGCCCTTCTGTCTGGGTAACTTGTCTGCTGGTTGTTTGCCCGTTGAGCAGGCCGGTTAAGTATCTCGCAGGCTGCTTCAGTGGCTGTCTGTGCCTCACT